GTGCCCATCATTCCATGTTCATTCCCCACCTCCTGGTGCTCTTCTGTGGTTTTCAGGTTTTCTGCATTGAGCAAATGTTACAAGAAAAACACAAGGGCCAGGTGCTGTGTAGTCCCAGCTACAAGGGAGGCTGAGGCAGGAGGATCACTGGACCCCAGGAGTTGGAGACCAGCCTGGGCAACACACTGAGACACTGTCCCGAAAACAATTTTGTTTTTTTTTTGAGACAGGGCCTCTCTCTGTTGCCCAGGTTGGAGTGTGGTGGCATGATCACTGCTCACTGCAGCCTCAACCTCCCACACTCAAGCAATACTCCCAGCTCAGCCTCCCAAGTAGCTGGGACTACAGGCATGCACCATCACGGGTCTCACTATGTTGCTGAGGCTGGGGGGAAAAAAAAAGGCCCAGCACGGTGGCTCATGCCTGTAATCCCAGCACTTTGGGAGGCCAAGGAGGGGCAGATCACTTGAGTCCAAGAGTTTGAGACCAGCCTGGGCAACATAACAAGATCCTGTCTCTGGAAATTAAAAAAAAAAGAAAACACAAAATACTTAGCCAGGTGTGGTGGTGCAGATGGTGGTCCCAGCTACTCAGGAGGCTGAGGTGGGAGGATCGCATGAGCCCAGGAAGCAGAGGTCGCAGAGAGCTGAGGTCACAGCAAGCTGAGATTGTGCCACTGCACTCCAGCCTGGGCGACAGAGTGAGACCCCATCTCAAAATAAATAAATAAATAAAAATAACAGAAACACAAATCCCCTCACAGACCCAGAACCTATAGTACCTATCACAGGAGGGAACTGGGGAGGGGCTCCCAGCAGTCTTCTCCTTAGTCAGCAGTCTTTTTGCTGAGGGATCCTGGGGTCTCCAGTCCCATTACCAGTTGGAGTTACACAGTGGAGACAGGGATGCAAAGTCCTGGGGTTGGCCTCCTGCTGCAGCTGCCCAACCTTCCCTCCTCCAGAAGAACTGTTATCTGTGGGATTCCATTTCATCAACACAAAGACAGTTTTTTTTACCTTGCTATGCAGAATGCAACACCCCGTTTCTGGATGAAATTTGTGCTTTAGTTTTACAGAGCCAAAAGGCCTGACAGAAGAAAAAGAACTCCTCCCTAGAGAGGGAGGCTGGGAGCCCCACTCTCAGAGGCAATGCTGAACTTTCTACCCCTTTACAGCAGACGGACCACAGCCAGATCAGCCTTTTCTGATATATTTACAACTACAAAAGATACGGTTAAAAAATAAAAATACTTGGGTGCGGTGGCTCATGCCTGTAATCCCAGCACTTGGGGAGGCAGAGGCGGGTGGATCGCCTGAGGTCAGGAGTTCAAGACCAGCCTGGCTGACATGGTGAAACCCCTTCTCTACTAAAAATACAAAAATTAGGACAGGTGTGGTAGCTCACGCCTATAATCCCAGCACTTTTGGAGGCCGAGGCAGGCGGATCACCTGAGGCCAGCCTGGCCAACATGGTGAAACCCTGTCCCTACAAAATTAGCCAGGTGTGGTGGTGCACACATGTAGTCCCAGCTATTCAGTAGGTTGAGGCAGGAGAATCCCCTGAACCTGGGAGGCGGAGGTTGCAGTGAGCCGTGATCTCCTACTGCACTCCAGCCTGGGTGACAGAGTAAAACTGTCTCAAAAAAAAAAAAAAAAAAAAAAAAAAAAAATTCAGGGTACAAGGCCAGGTGTGCAAATCCTGTTGGTGGGCAAATCACCTCTTTGGGGACAATTTGGCCACTTCCTTAAACACTGTTCCCAGTTACACAAAAGCAGGCTACATACGGGAATATTCCTTTCAGCACTGCTTGCAACAACTCATGTCGGAGTAGTTAGACAAATCCATATTACCCATGGCAGGAAAGAACTAGGGAGGGATTCCAAGTGACCAGCATGTGTACTGCCTTGGGAAGATCTCCTAGAGTGCTTTTTATTGATTGATTGAAACGGGGTCTTTCTGTATGCCAGGCTGGAGTGCAGTGACGCAATCACAGCTCACTGTAGCCTTGACCTCCTATGCTCCAATGATTCTTCCACCTCAGCCTCCCAAGTAGCTGGGGCTACAGGCACACACCACCAGGCTTGGCTAATTTTTAAATTTTTTGTAGAGACAGCGTCTCGCAATGTTGCCTATGCTGGTTTAAAACTCCTGGGCTCAAGTGATCCTCCCACCTCAGCCTCTCAAAGTGTTGGAATTACAGTCTTGAGACACCATGCTCAGCTATTTTCCTTTACTTTTTTTTTTATTTTGAGATGGAGTCTCACTCCGTCTCCCAGGCTGGAGCATAGTGCCATGATCACAGCTCTCTGCAATCTTGACCCTAGGGTCAAGCAATCCTCCCACCTCAGCCTCCTGAATAGCTGGCTTATGGCTCACTGCAGCCTTAACCTCCTAGGGTCAATCATCCCACTTCAGCCTCCTGAGTCGCTGGGACTACAGGCACACGCCACCATGCCCAGCTAATTACTTTTTTTTTAGAGATGTGGGTCTCACCATATTGCCCAGTCTGGTCTTGAACTCCTGGCTCAAGGGATCCTCCTGCCTCGGCCTCCCAAGGTGCTGGGATTACAAGTATGAGCCACTGTGCCCGGCTTTGTGAATGCACTTAATGCCACTGAATTGTAAACTTAAAAATAGTTAAAATGGTACATTTTATATTATGTATATGTATATATTTATCTTTAGAGATAGAGGTCTCCCTGTGTTGCCCAGGCTGGCCTTTAACTCCTGGGCTCAAGTGACCCTGCTGAGTCAGCCTTCAGAGTAGCTGGGACTACAGGTGCATGCCACCGTGCCTGGCTATGTTTGTTTGTTTATTTATTTATTTACTTATTTATTTATTGAGATGGAGTCACTCTGTCGCCCAGGCTGGAATGCAGTGGCACGATCTCAGCTCACTGCAAGTTCTGCCTCCCGGGTTCACGCCATTCTCCTGCCTCAACCTCCCAAGTAGCTGGGACTATAGGCGCCCACCACCATGCCTGGCTTATTTTTTGTATTTTTAGTAGAGACGGGGTTTCACCGTGTTAGCCAGGATGGTCTCGATCTCTTGACCTCGTGATCCGCCCATCTCGGCCTCCCAAATTGCTGGGATTACAGGCGTGAGCCGCTGGGCCCAACAGCTATGTTTGTTTTACCACAATGAAAGGACTTACAAAAAAGAAGCTAGACACTGAAGAGAATACACAGTTGGATTCCATTTATAGCAAGTACAAAAACAAGAAAAACTAATGTCTGGTGACAGACATCAGAACAGTGACTACTCTTTGGAGGTTAATGGCTAGAAGAATGTATGAAGGGGGAGGTTCTGGGGTAATTATCTATTTCTTTCTTTTTTTTTTTTTTTTCCTGAAACAGTCTCGCTCTGTCACCCAGGCTGGAGTGCAGTGGCTCCATCTCAGCTCACTGCAACCTCCGCCTCCCAGGTTCAAGCCATTCTCCTGCCTCAGGCTTCTGAGTAGCTAGGATTACAGGCGTGCGCCAGCACGCCCGGCTAATTTTTGTATTTTTGTAGAGATTTCACCATGTTGCCTAGGCTGGTCTTGAACTCCTGACCTTGTGATCTGCCTGCCTTGGCCTCCTAAAATGCTGGGATTACAGGTGTAAGCCACCGCGCCGGGCCTAATTATCTATTTCTTGATCTAAGTGTTACTTCTGCCAGTGTTCAGTTGGTACAAACCACCAAGCTTTTTGCTTATGTTTGCCCCGTATGCATTATTTATCCTTTAATCATTAGTTCTCCAAAACCCTCAAACTCCAGCGCTTTTTTTTTTTTTTTTTTTTAGACAAGGCCTCGCTGTCGGGTGGAGTGCAGTGGCTCAGATCATAGCTCACTGCAGCCTCGAACTCCTGGGCTCAAGCGATCCTCCCATCTCTGTCTCCCAAAGCGGTGGGAAAAAATTTTAATTGCGGCCGAGCGCGGTGGCTCACGCCTGTCCCAGCACTTTGGGAGGCCGAGACGGGGGCGGATCACCTGAGGTACGGAGTTCGAGACTAGCCTGACCAACAGGAAGAAACCCTGTCTCTACTAAAAATACAAAATTAGCAGGGCGTGGTGGCCCATGCGTATAACCCCAGCTACTCGGCAGGCTGAGGCAGTACTAATCGCTTGAACCCGGGGGGCGGTGGTTGCAGTGAGCCGAGATCGCGCCATCGCACTCCAGCCTGGGCAACAAGAGCGGAACTCCGTCTCAAAAAAGAAAAAAGAAAAAATTTTAATTGCAAAAATCCGAATAAGTTCTTGAAAGCTGGACTTTTCCCCTTTTTTGTGCCCTAAGCCTGCGCTGAATCTGTGCCTTCTTTGAAATGCTTTCCCGCCTTCTTTCTCGGGGTCCCACGCTACCTGGGGCTGCACTCTTCAAGCACTGGATGTTGACTAACTCGTCTCCTTATCTGTCTTCCCGAATGGCCCAGAGCTGAGTTCTTACTAATCCCGCTAACCTGTAGTTCGGTGCGCGCTGCAAAGCAGTAACAAATCCAATCAGCCCGGGAGGCAGACAGCAAGGACCGAAGAACAAGGCTGGAAAGGGAAACGTCGCACCGGCTCTGCCCAGCGGCGCCAGCCCGGGCAACCTTACACAGACGCGAAGCCACACCCCTTTCCCCAAGTACCTCCCCGCTAACTCCTCCCCCTGGCCCAGCGTCTCACACGGATTGTCTAAGTCCCCGCCCACCAGGCGTGGCCCCGCTCTGGGAGGACCGCAATCCCGCCAACAATGACTCCGCCCCTCCTTCCGCTGAGAAACCTGTCCCTTTTATTTAAAGAATACCTTTTACGTCAGCCCGCCTTACGTAGCTTTGCGTCATCAGTGCAAGGCGCGGAGGCGGGACTTCCTGTCCCTGGCATAACAGCTTCCGGGAGAAGCCGGAAGAGACCGGACCCTGAACAGAATCGCAGATTGCCAGCCCTTTTCCCGACCCCTACGGAAAGACGAGTCCAGGGGCCGTCCTGGCGAGGTCAAAACATTTAGTCTGGCCTTTTCAGGTGAGGACTTCCCCATCCAGGCACAGTGCTGGACAAATCCCCCTTTAATTTCCCATGACTCCCCGCGTCCTCAAGCCCCGCCCCCAGTTCCCCAGCCCCGCCCCGAAGTTTGAGGGGTGTGGACGGTTTGTGACCCCCTTAGCCGACCCTACCCCTCACGGGCCGGGAGAGCTGGGCTTATCACGGAGGCCAGGGCCAGGCAGCCCTTCGGTTCAGGTGGGCCCATGGACCCCAGTCCAACGCCGCGGGAATAGGACCATCCAAACGCGAAACCTGCGCCTCAGAAAAAGGGTGCGGGACCCCTCCTCACCGTGCGGTCACGGTACGGACAGGGTAGATCACAGGCTGAGGGACAGAGTAAAGACCTCTGAGGCCGGTCACCTGGGGTCCTGCTGGACCCCTCCCCACGAGAGTTCCCTGTGTCTGTGCCAGCCGTTTTCGTCTTTCTTCGCCGCAGTTTCTTTTTCTGTAAATCATGGTTAATGACATTAACCTTCTTGCCATCAGGGATTAGTTGTGGGTGTGATAAATAATTGCTACCATTTATTGAGCAATTGCAGTTTGCACTGTGCCAGGCACTGTGCTAAGTATTTTGCTTCGATGATTTCACGTCATCTTCAAAACAACCTCATGAGGTAGGTACTGTTTTTAACCCCATTTTACTGATGAGAAAGCTGAGGCTCTGAGAAAGTTGTCTGAGGTGATATAGCTAGTAAGACGCGAGACTGGGGTTATAATTAGTTGTTGTTTTTCTAACTCCAGGGCCAGTATATTAAAAAGGATGTTGATGTGTTCCACAGATATTCTTTGAGCAACTACTGGGGCATTATATTGGACACTTCAGTACCAAGAGAAATACATACGATCCTTGTCTACCAGGAGTCTAATAGAGAGATGGAGAGGTAGATAAGTATAATGAAGTTTTATAGGTGCTGTGAGAATAGTCTGATAATGATAATCACCAGACTGGATTTGCCCAGGGACAGCTGTGAAAGCAGCAGATTCTCCAAAGGACATAGTAGGTACTCCAGGGATCAAGCAGGGACCCTTCCTGCCTTTCTAAGAAACTGCAGCAGCAGAACCTTCACAGTGAAAGAAGAGAGACTGAGATATGGATTGTGAGAGTTGTTATGGAATCTTTTTCAAATCACTTCCACGTGGGGAGTGGTCATTGCAGGAGTGGGCCCATGGTGACCCAGGAGGGTGGTGCTTCTGGTGTCTGTCCCATGTTGCTCCCCAGGGCTTGCCAGAAGTTTCAGAGGTGGCATATAATGTCTGCTGCATAGTGTCTGCTCGTGACCCCTACAGAGTTGCCCATTTGAGGTTGTCTGACTCTGCTTTTGATGGTAGGTCAGTTTTCTTTGACTCTTGACATCTGGCAGCCTGGATCTGTGACCAGGAATGAAATAGGCTGAAATGAGACAATCCGGCAGGGATGGCTAAACAGTGCCTCTAAGCGGGCCCCGCAGTAAAATATTCCAGACTTTTGGGTCTCTCTGAAGCCACTTTGGAGGCTGCTTAGGAGACATATTTGCTTGACCAAGTGATAGAAATCCTAGAGAAACTCAGGCCTCAGCAAAGGTTTTTCCTCATTCGCCAAAAAAGCAACAACAGTAGCAGCAGCAGCAGCAAGGCTGTGGGCTTTTCCTGCTGATCCACGCTCATTGGGAAGTTGGAGTGTGAGAGAGGAAGGTCACAGAACCTGAAAGCAAGAGTTTCACAATAGAGGCAAAGGGTACGATAGGTCTTTAGCTTTACGTTGGGGTGCCAGAATTAGGAAGGTTTGTGCCCCCTTCTACAGAACACTGAACTCCTTTTGTTTTTCAGGGCTGGGTCAGTTAGAACCTAAACAAACTAGAGACCTGGTTGCAACCCCTCAGGCTCTGCTGATGCTGTCCCCCTTTGTTCCTGCAGCGTGGACCCTGCCGGCAGCCAGGCCATGGAGCTCTCTGATGTCACCCTCATTGAGGGTGTGGGTAATGAGGTGATGGTGGTGACAGGTGTGGTGGTGCTGATTCTAGCCTTGGTCCTAGCTTGGCTCTCTACCTACGTAGCAGACAGCGGTAGCAACCAGCTCCTGGGCGCCATTGTGTCAGCAGGTGACACATCTGTCCTCCACCTGGGGCATGTGGACCACCTGGTGGCAGGCCAAGGCAACCCCGAGCCAACTGAACTCCCCCATCCATCAGAGGGTAATGATGAGAAGGCTGAAGAGGCTGGTGAAGGTCGGGGAGACTCCACAGGGGAAGCTGGAGCTGGGGGTGGTATTGAACCCAGCCTTGAGCATCTCCTTGACATCCAAGGCCTGCCCAAAAGACAAGCAGGTGCAGACAGCAGCAGTCCAGAGGCCCCCCTGAGATCTGAGGATAGCACCTGCCTCCCTCCCAGCCCTGGCCTCATCACTGTACGGCTCAAATTCCTCAATGATACCGAGGAGCTGGCTGTGGCTAGGCCAGAGGATACCGTGGGTGCCCTGAAGAGGTGAGTGGCCTGGGAAGTGGGAAGCTGCTTGTGCTCATCCCCCAGCCCTTGGTTGCCTCTAAGGAGGCTGGTGCAGACGTAGGAGCTGCAGGGAAGTATAAGATCCAGCCCCTACTAAGGGCACGTAGATACTTTCTTAGAAATACACCCCTCAGGCCGGGCGCGGTGGCTCCCAGCACTTTGGGAGGCCAAGGTGGGTGCATCACAAGGTCAGGAGTTTGAGACCAGCCTGACCAATATGGTGAAACCCCATCTCTACTAATAGTAAAAAAATTAGCTGGGTGTGGTGGCACACACCTGTAATCCCAGCTACTCAGGAGGCTAAGGCAGGAGAATTGCTTGAACCTGGGAGGCAGAGGTTGTAGTGAGCTGAGATTGCGCCATTGCACACCAGCCTGGGTGACAGAGTGAGACTCAGTCTCAAAAAAACAAAACAAAACAAATACACTCTTCATTAGTTAAGGATAAAGATGAGGGAGGCTGGGCACGGTGGCTCACGCCTGTAATCCCAGCACTTTGGGCAGATCACAAGGTCAAGACATCAAGACCATCCTGGCCAAAATGGTGAAACCCCGTCTCTACTAAAAAAAAAAACAAAACAAAAATTAGCTGGGCGCGGTGCCGCATTCCTGTAGTCCCAGCTACTTGGGAGGCTGAGGCAGGAGAATTGCTTGAACCCAGGAGGTGGAGGTTGTAGTGAGCCAAGATCACACCACTGCACTCCAGCCTGGCAACAGAGCGAGACTCCGTCTCAAAAAAAAATAAAAATAGGCCGGGCACGGTGGCTCAAGCCTGTAATCCCAGCACTTTGGGAGGCCGAGACGGGTGGATCACGAGGTCAGGAGATCGAGACCATCCTGGCTAACACGGTGAAACCCCATCTCTACTAAAAAAATACAAAAAAACTGGCCGGGCGAGGTGGCGGGCGCCTGTAGTCCCAGCTACTTGGGAGGCTGAGGCAGGAGAATGGCGTGAACCTGGGAGGCGGAGCTTGCAGTGAGCTGAGATCCGGCCACTGCACTCCAGCCTGGGCGACAGAGCAAGACTCCGTCTCAAAAAATAAATAAATAAATAAATAAAAATAAAATAAAAAAATAAAAATAAATATAAATAAATAAAAATTAAAATTAAAAAAAAAGATGAGGGAAAAAAAAAATCCACCCTCTAATTTTTCCCCACTCCCCTTTGTTGGTCCAGGCCTTTTTGCTTTCTCATTCCTCACCCTCTGTCTTTCCTTCCATGTCTTTCATCCTTACAGCAAATACTTCCCTGGACAAGAAAGCCACATGAAACTGATCTACCAGGGCCGCCTGCTACAGGACCCAGCCTGCACACTGCGTTCTCTGAACATTACTGACAACTGTGTGATTCACTGCCACCGCTCACCCCCAGGGTCAGCTGTTCCAGGCCCCTCAGCCTCCTTGGCCCCCTCAGCCACTGAGCCACCCAGCCTTGGTGTCAATGTGGGCAGCCTCATGGTGCCTGTCTTTGTGGTGCTATTGGGTGTGGTCTGGTACTTCCGAATCAATTACCGCCAATTCTTCACAGCACCTGCCACTGTCTCCCTGGTGGGAGTCACCGTCTTCTTCAGCTTCCTAGTATTTGGGATGTATGGACGATAAGGACATAGGAAGAAAATGAAAGGCATGGTCTTCCTCCTTTACGGCCTCCCCCCTTTTCCTGGCCAGAGCTGGGCCCAAGGGCCTGGGAGGGAGGGGTGGAAAGGATGTGATGGAAATCTCCTCCATAGGACACAGGAGGCAGGTACGGGGCCTCCTCTTCTCGTCCACAGGAGTACAGACGTCCCTTCTGTGCAAGCACAACTCAGGTAGAAATGAGGATGTCATCTTCCTTCACTTTTAGGGTCCTCCTGAAGGAGTTCAAAGCTGCTGGCCAAGCTCAGTGGGGAGCCTGGGCTCTGAGATTCCCTCCCACCTGTGGTCCTGGCTCTTCCCAGTGTCCTGCATGTCTGCCCCCAGCACCCAGGGCTGCCTGCCTGGGCAGCTCAGCATGGCCCCAGCACACCTCCATAGGAATCCTGGAGTATCCTTCCATTTCTCAGCCAAATACCTTTTGAGACAAATCACACAGGCGGGAATGAAGATTGTGCCAGCCTTCTCTTATGGGCACCTAGCCGCCTTCACCTTCTCCCTCTACCCCTTAGCAGGAATAGGGTGTCCTTCCTTCTTTCAAAGCACTTTGCTTGCATTTTATTTTTTTGAGTCCTTCATAGAGCTCAGTCAGGAAGGGGACAGGACACCAAGCCAAGCCCCCAGCATTGGGAGCGGCCAGGCCACAGCTGCTGCTCCCGTAGGCCTCAGGCTGTAAGCAAGAGACAGCACTGGCCCTTGGCCAGCGTCCTACCCTTCCCAATTCCAAGGACTGGGTATGGATCGCTGGGCCCTAGGCTCCTGCTTCTGGGGCTATTGGAGGGTCAGTGTCTGTGACTGAATAAAGTTCCCTTTTGTGGTCCTGGAGCCTCTTTCTGTGACAGAGAATGACTGCGCTGCCCCCAGCAACATGGTAATGAGGGTAGGTAGGCCGGGGCTACCAACGGGAGATGCAGTTTATTTACACCAGCAGCCATGGGGGCAGAGGGAATACACAGCGTTTACAAAGTTAGCTACCTGTACAGAATGGATTACATATGCAAAAATAAAAATCTCAAGACCACAGGACAGCGTGAGCCCCACCCCCCTCCCCCAATGACCCCAGCATGCGGTAATGCCAGGCGGGTGGCCCCTGGGCATGCGGGGGGGAGTGATGCATGGAAGGAAAAGCCACCGGCCATGGAAATTAGTACAGAACCCCCCCACACACACTCAGACACATGATAGGATACAGGGCGGACGACACCTAGCCGGGGTGGGAAGGATGGGAATTGAAACCCACACAGCCTGCTGTTAAAGGGAGGGGAGTGGGGAGCTCCTAGCCCCTGTTCAACTACATGGTAGGGGGGCACTCTCTCCCCAGAAGGAAAAGGGTTTGTTCCCTCAGAGTCCCTGCTGGACCAAGCCCATCTCTTACCCAGCCTGGGCAGGGGGCTCTGCCCTGAGGGCGGGCCAAGGAACAATGGGGAAGTTTATGTGGACAAACCAGTTCCCAAACTACTTCCCACTTCTCCCTCCTCCAACCAGAAGGGGGAAAAAGGGAGAAGCCACAGGGCAAAGAGTGTATTAGGGCCTGAGCTGCAGCTGCCTCTCAGAAGGGAGAGTGGCCCACAGCCTTCCTCCCTTCACCTTCAGCCCACTCCCCAGACTGCATCTGGAAGCGGCTGGAGGCCTGCTGAGATCCTCCTCTCCCTCCGGCCTCCCCTCAGAGGGAGAAAGCTACGGAGGGCCAAGAACGGAGGAGCCCAGGCCCCAGGATTTATTCTAACTCCTGCCAAAATGTTTGGCTTTTTAAAAAATAATCACAATTTGTGGGTTAAAAACCAATTTGCAACCAGGCATGAGCCACAATCAGAACCACCCCAGGGGGAGAGCGGAGTTCCAGACAGGGCATTGCAGCCCCATCTCTGTTGTTCCCTTAACCCTCTAGGGTCCCTAACCCGATCAGTCCAACCAGTCCTGGGTACTAGCTACCCAAATGTGGGATGGCTCCTCTTGGGATGAGGGCAGGGGACATGTCCAGGAAGTGCCAGAGAACTTGGCTCAGGGTCACCTCCACCCGTGTCAGTCAGCTCTGCTCCCAGCCCAGGTCGCGGTCCTCCAGCTTGGCTCCTGGGAGTGGTGGTGCCCGCATGGAGGGGGGACGGTACATCTCTTCAGGATGTAGACCAGGCAGGTGGGCACACTGGCATGACAGTCCCAGAGAGGGGCAATGACACCCCTTCCCCTCCACTGACAACCCGGAGCACAGAGGCCACCCTCTCTTCCCACCCGACTCCTAGCAAAGGGGGAGAGGCACGAGATTAGGATTTTCCTCAGAGCCCCAAACCACAAGTACAGAATAAATAACTTAAAAGCGCTAAGGAAGGGAAACAGGGCAGGCTTTGGAGGCAGGAGCGCCGAGAGAAACTGAAGCCGGTCAAGGTGAAGGGGGTGGAAGCAGCAGTTGGGAACCTGGGCTGCCCCGGTAGGGCAGTGGGGCAGGATGGGCAGGAGGAACACGGGGCCACCCCAGGAGGGTGAGGCTGGGTCCCTTCCTGGGGCAGGGAATGAGGTAAGAAAACATTTCAAATAAAGCAGCACCGTTCCCTCTCACCTTGGGGCCCCACTCCTCACCAGCCCTGGGTCAGGGAGGAGAGACAGGGGGAGGAATTCTGACACTTCTCCCTCTTCCTACCCTCCCTTTCCCATTCCTTGAAGCTGTAGAGGCTGGAGGCCCTTTCCTGGCACCCAACAACAAAAGGACAGCTCCTGCTGCCAAGGAGGCCCATGGGGACTGAGGGGAAAGGGCTGCCCCTGTGAGGGGCAGGGAAGGTGGCGGCAGTTCTGGACGCCCACCTCAGCAGACAGCACTCTGTGCCTGCCTACCCCTGGGACTGGGGGCATTTGATAGGATTCTGCACACAGACAGGACATGCCCAGCCTTGCCCCTCAGCTCCAAGCACCGGACCCATTCACATTGCTGAGGGCGGCCAAGGCAGGCCCCCTCCAGGCTCAGCTTCCAACCCACAGCCTCCCGGGTCACCACATTGCCCCTCAGCAGGGCTTAGTCCAGTTCCTGGGGTGGGGGGCAGGCAGTGCCCTGGCACAGCGCCCAGGTCAGGCCCCTGGCCTAGCTGGACATCCAGTAACTCACAGAATAAATAGGAAAACTGCCTCCCCACCAAACTTATGTCCAAGGCATAATATGTCCAGGTCTGAGTCCTGCACGCTGAGGAGTCGTGCTCCATTGCAGAGGACTTTGACACCCCCCAGGGGCGCATAATCGGATCCTCTGCCTGCCTGGCCCACCAAGCTTCCCAAGCCCCAACCCCCAGCAGCCGTCCATTTGCCAGGCTATGCCACCTGGGTGGGGGTCAGGAGAGAGGGCTCTGCTCAGCCAAAGGCTATCCCTTGCACCCAAGTCAGTTGATGTCATCATAGATGCTGGGCGTCGGGGGTGCCGGTGGCTTTGGCTTCTTCTTCTTGTTGGAACCTAGGCCGGAGGCAGTCCCTACCAGGCTCAGATGGGATTTCTTTTTCTTGGTTTTCCGTGACTCAGAGCTGTTGGTACCTGTAGAGAAAGAGACACAAAGGATGAGAGTAGGGTTGTGGCAGGAGAGGTGGCACTCCCATGGCTTCGGGCACAGCCCCTGGGGCCCAACTGTATCACGTACCTAGACCCCATCCCTGATTTTCACTCGTCTTGGAGGAGCCTGAATCAGAGGGTGAGAGGTCAGAGGAGCCATCCCACTGAAGCCGGCTGATCAGGGCCTGGCTGTCAGTCATGTCAAAGCTGTCATTATCCAGGGAGCTCTCGACCTCTGGAAGGACGCTAGAAAGGGGATGAGCCAAAGAAGGGCTTTAGAGATAGCGATCATCGCCCTAACTGGTCATAACCCCCCATCCCTCCTGTAGGGCCACTTACGCCGAGGGCCCGAGAAAATAAATCCGCACGGTTCGCCTCTGCTCATCTGTGTGCTGTGGGCAGCGTAGGGACCTGGTGGTGAGGCAAGGCAGGGAGGGGTCTGAGGAACTCAGGTAAAGCCCCTCCTCTCGGCAAGGCAGGAGCCACAGGCACAGACAGGGAAGGGAAGAGTGCAGATTCGTCCCCAGACTGTGGCCGAAGGCCTGATCATTAGAGGAGGGAAGGGGAAGGGCAGAAGCCCCATTGCTCAAGTCCGACCCATGCCCATGGTGAGTGTGCAGGAGGCCCCTGGCCCCCTTTCTAGGTTCTGTGCTCACCTTGTGCACATCTTCTTGGTGTGTTCAGAAATCACCCCACATTGCTGGAAGAGGAATATAAGCTGAAAGGAGGGATGGAGGGAACCTACTCTAGATGCTAGATGTTCCCTTCTGCATAAATGCTAGAAAGCACAAGCAGAGATGGCCCCAAGGTGTCCAGAGCAGACAGTCCCAGGACACTATGGGCCAGGAAACCTAATTCCAGAAAGAGAGAACAATATGGCCCTGACTGCTATGTCACCAGCTTCCTCCCCGGCCTTGACCACTGCCTATGGCTCCAGCCCACTCCCAAGGGCCTTCTCCCTTGCCGGTCCCCCTCACCGTGGTGAGCAGGCTGCGAAGCTCCTCTGGCCCCAGGGTCTCATAGCTGATCCCAGTTGAATTGTTATACTGCAGGAGAACCAGAGGTACAGGTTAGAGATGGGGCAGAGAAGAGACAGGGGCCGGGGGGAAGCGAGAATCAGTCCCTCTGGTGCCTTTCTAAGCGAGAGGCTTTAGGACAACCCTGCCGTTTTCCAAGTGATTTCTCTCATCCCACCTGCCTATGGATAAGGGGCGGGACTCAGAAAGAACATAAATATATAAGATCCAAATAGCTCATCAGTGCCTCTGGCTGTCAGCATTCTGATCCCTACTTGTCCAAATCCCTACCACCTCACAACCAGGACAATGAGAGCAAGTGCGAGGGGCGGCCCATACTCACCTTAAAAGGATCCGAATTGCTAAGTTCCCCTGAAGAAGAAAAAAGAAGGGGAAGGGTGTTTGATGCAGAGGTACAGACAGAGAACCCTGAAAATAACCAGAGAGGAAGTGGGGGTGACAGAAGGATCACAGGCCCTCCCTCAATTCCCCTATCCCCGGGCCCCACCTCCACCCCCCGGCAATGAGTCCCAGAAGACGTAGCTAGAAGCAATCCCATTGCTCCGGCCCCACTTACCATTTTTGTGTTTTAAAGACTTGGATCTTCGAGGGGAATTGGGGTTCTGGAATGGGAGATACCATAGCTTTGGGGAAAGGGTAACGATAAGGGGGAGCCGAGAACCCAGGGAAGGAAAAAAGATTTGACAAAGCAGCATCCTCAAATTCCTACTCTTCCTCCCCAGTAGGAGGCCTGTCTACCCATGTGCCCTCCCCTGCCCTCCATTCCCACACCCCACCCGCCCACCACAGACACCCTCAAGCCCCCAGTGACCTCAGCCTTGAGTCAAGACACTTGAGGACTCCCTGCCCAAAGGGGAGGGTATCTGTCCTTTGCCCATTAATTCCCCAATGCTTGCCCCGGCTCTCACCTTGTCTGATTTCCTCTTCTTGGCTAAGGGGGAACAAAAGCATAAAGAGCAGGGTTTCCGTTAAGTTCTCAATCTAAAAGCATCTCAAGAAAACTGTACAATAGGCTGGGCGCAGTGGCTCACGCCTATAATCCCAGCACTTTGGGAGGCCCGGGCGGGCGGATCATGAAGTCAGGAGATTAAGACCATCCTGGCCAATATGGTGTAACCCCATCTCTACTAAAAACAAAAAAATTAGCTCGCCGTGGTAGCGCACACCTGTAATCCTGGCTACTCAGGAGGCTGAGACAGGGGAATCACTTGAACCCAGGAGACGGAGGTTGCAGTGAGCCAAGATTGCGCCAATGCACCCCATCCTGGGCAACAGAGCAAGATTCCGTCTCAAAAAAAAAAAAGGAAACCGCACAACTATACTCTCTCTTCATCATTCAAGACAACAACCTTAGCCAGGCGCAGTGGCGGGCGCCTGTAGTCCCAGCTACTCGGGAGGCTGAGGCAGGAGAATGGCGTGAACCCGGGAGGCGGAGCCTGCAGTGAGCCGAGATTGCGCCACTGCACTCCAGCCTGGGCGACAGAGCAAGACTCCGTCTCAAAAAAAAAAAAAAAAAAAGACAACAACCTGTGACCACTTTATACCCAATTTCTGCTTCCCACCTCATCCCAATGCTCCCCAAGTTTCCCCAGATCCCCAAGCACCTTTCTTTTCCGAGCCATAAGACCAGTCGTTGTCATTGATGTCATCATTATCCTCTTGGTCACTCTCAGACTTATTCATATTGTTGCTATTGGCAATCCTGCCAAAGGGAGGGAAGAGAAAAAGGGTCAAGGGGGTCACCCCACTCTGCCCCCAACTTCAGAGGCACGTGGGGTATCTGGGGCCAAGTAAAACCCACTCTCGGTACCCTCCTAATGCCCCCGGGGTACTACACCATGGCACAGGCTGCAGAGAATGGGCAGCTCTGGTTCTCTCACCGGCGGTTGGCGATTCGGCTGCTGTTCCGACCCATTCCCAGGCACTTCTCCAGATGGGGAGCAAAGCGGGAGGCGGCAATGCTGCGACTGCAATTGGGGCAAACACACTCCTTGCTCTTCCACTGGTTGAAAACCTGTCCAAAGATGTCCAACCCCGGCTGGTCCACGATCTCTGGGGACAGGAGAGGCTGGCGATCAGGGTGGGCAGGGGACCCTCTCCTCTTGTTCCCACCTGGGGTCCCACGGCCTCTTCAATCCCTCCCCCGGCTCACAGGAGCTCCAGATGCTACATCTAGCACAGTTTCCAGAGAAGGAAACTCCAAACAGTCCCAGGAAAGGGCTGGACTGCTGCTCCTTCACCCTGAAGCTCACCAAAATCCTTCATGCTATCAGGGTCCGTGTCGTCCAGGAAGAAGTAGCCACACTTGACAGCCCGGTGTACCTCAAAGCAGAATCCCAAACAAGAATCCTCGACCAGGTCCGCATATATCTCCTGAGCGATGGCCTGGGCCCCAGGGGAGAACATCTACGGTCACAAGAGTCACAGCCCCCTGGACTCTCACCAACCAAATCTGCTGCCATCTGGCCCCAGCCAAAAATCACGCTTTCTTTGCCATTTTCCCCATCTTGACTTCGTGTTCTTTCTTCTTCCTGGATCCTTGGCCTTTTCAGCTGGCTATTCCCTTTAAGGAACAAGGCTGACTACCCAAATTCCTCTTTGGTGTGGATGCCAGATATAGCGACGTAGAGACATCAAGAGAAAGAACTGGAGGCACACGTGGGGGAGCCCTCACCTCTAGTTTGCTGTTATCCAGGCCAGACAAAGACATTTCCTCCATTTTCATTTGTAAACTCTTGTGGAGACGGCGCTCTGACTGCTCATAGCACAGCGGGCGGCAACACGGCTGCACACACGGGGGTGGGGGTGTTGTTGTGAGTCCAAGGCACCTCTGAAGGCGGCCACCTTCCCTCCCACCTCGCTGCCCAGAGCTCAGTCCTGGCATCAGGGTCTCTCCCTCCCCAAGGCCCAGGCTCACTAAGTCTGGATGGTCCTTCAGGGCCTGAAACCTAAAGGGGGCCTAGTCTTTCCCAGGCCTGAGCTCAGGCCCTGGACTCCACTGCCAATCAGAGTCTGGGTCTATAGGAGGCAGCAGCTCACCCTAGGTCCCCAAAACTCAAACCCCTCTTTGATACCCATGGTGCAATGCAGCAGGGGGAGGAGAAGGAACTCCAAGGCCTCAAAGCAAACCCACAGGGTGTGGCAAAGAACTGCACAGACTCCTAAATACACCCCCCCGCCTTCCCTAAAGACTCTCCTCAGAGTCACCTCTGCTTTCAGCCAGGATGTCCACTTGGGGGGGTACTGCTACCAGAAGTAGAAATGGCCCTAGGACCCTACAACCTTCACCCCACTCTGCCTTCCCTTGAAATCAGCCTGCCACTCCACGAGGGAAGCAGAGCTCACAGGAGCCTAGAGCTAAGGGACATTTCTAGCCACCATGAGCAGGAGCGGCAGGGCGGGGGGGGGGGGGGTGCCCGGTGGGGTGGCACGCCAGGAGCGGGCACTCCCCTTACCTGTTCTTCCTTTAAATAACCACCCACCCTCCCTCAGGACCAGCCCGGAAGTCTCTCCAAGAGCCCCAAAGTCCAGGAACCCCCACCCAAGGATTCAGACACAGCACCCACAGCCCAGGGCCCCTCGGAACGGTGGGTACGAGTTTCAGGAGCCGCCGGCCTAGAGTGGGGTGGGGACTGACGAATGAGCCGGGGGCACTGGGAAGGGTAGGAGGCCGGGCCTCGGCTCTTCCCCCGTCCCTGCGGCACTGCTGCTGCATCATACCGACTGGGGGGAGGAGAGCCGAGCCGCCGGGGCCGGCACCGGGCCGGGACAGACCGACCCCCAGAGAGTGGACAGAGTGGGACGCGTCCCGGCCCCTCTCCTTCCCCGCCCGCCAGCAGCCCCGGCCGGCCGGGGAGAGGAGTCCGGGAGGGTGTCTCTATTGTCCCGGGGGCTGGGGCCTGGCTCCCTAACAAAGGCCCCGCGCCCCCTCCCCGGCCGGCCCTGCCCCGCCCAAGGGGGACCCAGACGGGGGAGAGCTGGGGGCCCCGGCCCGGCCGGGAAGCTGGGGGAAGCCGGGCGTTTCCGCGTCGGCCCGGGGGGAGGGGAAGGGGCGCTGACCCAGACCTGGGGGGAGGGGGCCCAAGCCCCGCCTCGGGCCCCGCCCCCCGCCCCCCGCAGGCCCCTCCCCCGTCCCCGTCTCCGTCCCGTACTCACCCCGCCCGGGGGGCCGCGCCGGGGCCCGGCGGCCTCTCAGGGCCGCGTCCTCCGGCGGCGGCGGCGGCGGCGGCTGCTCCGGAGCCCCATGTCCGTCGGTCCGTCCTCGCCTCTCCCCGGGGCCCAGGGCCCGGGGCCGGGGGGTCGGGCCGCCCCCCCGCCTCGCCGCCTCACCGGGCGGCCATGGCCCCTTCCCCTCCCTTCTTGTCCCGTCGCCGCCTCCTCCTCCTCACCTCACCCCGCCCGCGCGCAGTCCGCGCGCCGTCCGCGCGCCCCTCCCCCCGCCCCCCACTCCAGCCCGCCTCTCCCGGGCGGGGGGTGCGGCGCGAGCCCGGAGCGCGCGCGCGTGTGCCGCGACCGGAGGATGGATGGATGGAGCGAGCGAGAACGCGAACGTGCGCGCGCGCGCCCCTCTCCCCCTCCCTCCGCGCGGGCGCGAGGCCAAGCGCGAGCGCGCTCCAACCTCCTCCTCTTCCTCCTCCCGCCCCTCCCCAACACCCCGCCCTCCCCCTCCCTTCCTCTTCCTTCTTTCGCTTTCGCGCGCCCAGCGACTGCTCGCGCCTGCTAGAAGGGCCCGAGCGCGTGCATCTGCCCCGCGGCCGCAGCTCGGCAGCATTTGCTCCAGGGGGCGGGGACCGGGAGGGGAGGAGGGGCGCCACGCCGCCGTCCAAAGTACCGGCGGACGGGGACGGGGGCGGGGAGATGGGCGGGGCCTTCGCGGACCTCCCCGACCAATCGCCGAGAGGCCTCGGCCCGGGAGGCCCAATAAGATGGGGGTGGGTGGGGCGGCGTTCAAGGTGAGGTGCGCGGTGCGCTGGGGGCGGAGACATTGTGCCGTCCCGGCCGGCTCGGGGGCGGGGGCAGCGGGTGGCGTCGAAAGAGAGCGCCGGCTCCTAGCCGATCCTGGGACGCCTTCCGGCCCAGGCTTCCCCGCCCTTCCCTCGGGGCTCCCCGCTCTCTCCCCCCCCTCCGCTCCCCCCTTTACCCCGAGGCGTGCAGCCACTTCTGTGAAGAGGCCAGACTTGAAGTGGGGCGCAGTTAGGACCTCGGAGCGGAAAGCCCGTAGAATCGAAGGGGCTCGCCCGCGCCTCAGTTCTCCTGGTTTCTGGGCGGGTCTCAGCCCACGCCAGGCCTGCGGACCAACAAGCGGCCGAGATGAGGGTCCGCTGCTGAGGTCGGAGGCCAAGCTGCGCCCTTCTGCGCGGAGCGCCCTCCCTACCGCTCATCCTAATTTAGATCCCACACCTGCTTGCCTTTCCTGCTTCCGGAACCCACGCTGGACCCCCCACCCCTCAAGACAGCCTGCCTGGCACTGGCCAGATCCTTCCCCCGACCCAGTGCTTTTCTCCTGGGTGCAGAGTGTCCCTATGCTCACGCTCTCAGTCCCTCTTTAGGAAGGAGCGGGCCTTTTCCCAGCCGCGGTGGATGGCTGGATTGGCGCTTTCATCTCGGTTACTCTGTGTCTGGTGTCCTGGAACGGTTGTGTGACAGCCCTCTCCCCTCAAGAGATAAGATTAAAAAGGAGGATAGTCTGAAATCACATACTTGGAGCCATCTTTGGTTTTTAGTTTTCCGCAAATATTTTATTCTCACCGATTTCTCCTGAGAAACAGCAAACATTTATTGAGGCGATATTCCAGAGTAGTTAAGATCAGGCGTCTGATTTGAATTTAAATCGTTGGATCTAGCAAATGAGTTTCCTCTGCCTCAGTTTCCTCTGTTGTCAGTGGGCATAATGATAGTCCTATCTCATTGCGTTGCTGTAGTGATTAACAAGTCAGTGCATGTGAAACTCTTAGCTCTGTGTAAGTGCTTGGTAAATCTTAGCTGTTATTCTTACGGTGCTCCAGGTGCTGGGACAAAAGATGATATAAGACAGTTGTGCTTCTTCAAGAAGTTCACTGTCTTGTGGGATAGACAGGTAGGATAATAATTGCAAAAGAGTGTGACGAAAACAGCAGAGAGAGAACAGAGGTAGCCAGAAGGAGACATCAAATAATGTAAGAGAGTTGGTCAAGAAAGGCTTCTTGGGTTGGGCGGGGTGGCCCAGGCCTGTAATTCCAGCACTTTGGGAGGCCAGGAGCTCAAGACCAGCCTGCAAAAATGCAAAAATTAGCTGAGTGTGGTGGCATGCTCCTGTAATCCCAGCTACTCAGGAGGCTGAGGCAGGAGAATCGCTTGAACCTGGGAGGCGGAGGTTGCAGTGAGCTGAGATTGCACCACTGCACTCCAGCCTGGGCGACAGAGCGAGATGCTGTCTCAAAACAAAACAAAAAAGAAGAAAAAGAAAAACTTCTTGTAGTGGGAGATGAACCAGGTAAAGGTAGGCCAAGAAAGCATTGGATATCCCCAACCGGAAGCTTCAGAAGCCTGGATCAAGCTGAAACAGAGGATTGGGTGGCAGAATAGCTGGAGGTGAGCAGGCTGGATCATACAGGACAAAGCAAGTAGGTGTTGAAAGTTTCGCCTGTAAGCCATGAGGAATCCTCAAGGGGAATCATTCACCAGACTTATATATTTAGTAGATCATGCTGGAGTGTGGTCTGGAGAATAACTTAGAAGCAGTAGGTTTTTTTGTTTTGTTTTGTTTTTTAGCGTTTTGCTCTGTCACTCAGGCTGGAGTGCAGTGGTGTGATCTTAGCACACTGCAACTTCTGCCTCCCGGGTTCAAGCGATTCTCATGCCTCAGCCTCCCTAATAGCTGGGATTACGGGCACATGCCACCTTGCTCAGCTAATTTTTGTTTTATATTTTTAGTAGAGACAGGGTTTCACCATGTTGGCCAGGCTGGTCTCGAACTTCTGACCTTAGGAAAGCCACCTGCCTCAGCCTCCCAAATGCTGGGATTACCGGCATGAGCCACTGGGCTTGGCCAAAAGCAGGTTTTTGTTACTGATTGGGGTGTATGGAGGAAAGGAGAGGGAGGTCTCGAAAACACCTTTAACTAGGATGGGGAACTCAGGGGAGGACATGGGAGGATGACTTCACTCTGGGATATATTGAGGTTTCTGTGGGATCAGCTGATGGAGACCCGAAAGGTGATTGAACTTAGATCTGGCACAGAGAAGTAAGCTAGGTTTTCAGGAACTTCAGCAACATAGCCTCAGCCTTGTTTTTCTCTTATCTCCCACCTCCTTTTCAGGAATTCTTCCCGCCAGTGATGCTGATCTGTTTCTTACCTAAATATGCCCAGTACATTCTGCCCTAAGGAATTTGCGCCATGGCCAGAAAATCCTCCTGGCTTCTCCCTGTTGACCTAAATCTTTCCTCATATCCCCACCTGTGGCCATCCTCATACCAAACTTCTGTACAACTAGACTGTACTGTTCATTCTGTGCTTGGCCTGGGCTGCTCTGTGGTGGTGACCTCTTTGGGCATGTACCAGTCTTCACTGTTAGCACCAGTTCATAAACACTAAGGCCTGAGCTGGTCCTGACTCTGGGTGAGACCCTGGGGTTACAGCAGCAAGCAAGAGAGACACACAAACCTTGTCCTAGCGTGGCTTACAGCCTAGCAAGGCCTGATGGGAAGGAAATAAGGCCTGAGTGTGAAGGCATTCAGGCTGCTGAAGAAACATATAGTGTGGAGACCCTTTTTCTCAGGAGCTCAGGGAAGGAAGTGGTCTTTTAAGTGGAGCCCTGAATTAACTAGGCAGAGAGAACACCATGTGTATAGACCCTGGGACAGAGCATGTTATGTTCGAGACATGAATGGCCAGTGTGGCTAGAGCCAGGGCAGGGCTAACAGGGGCAGCAGATCCCCTAGGGCCTTGTGGGCCAGACTTATTCACCCACTCAACAAATCTTTCTTGGGTGTCGAATGTATATCAGGCAGTTTCAGGCGCTGAGATTACTGTAATGAACAAGCAGATAAGGTGTCTTCTACTTGGTGAGATAGATAATAAACAAATACATAAACAAGAAGATGGAGGACGCCTCTCTAGAGCAGGTGATTGGGAAAGGCTTCGCTGAGAGAGGACATGTGAGTTGAGGCCTAAAAGATGAAAAAAACATCAGGTATGTGTAGGGTTGGAGGAATAGCCATTCTGGGCCGAAAGAACAGGTGCCAAGACCCTGCGGGTAGGCGTGTTTGAGGAACAAAGGAGATCACTTGGCTGGATCACTGTGAGTGGTTAGGAAGAGCAGGGTGAGTGAAGATAAGAGAAGGAATGCAGGGGCCAAACCTTGTAAGGCCATGGTAAGACATGGTAAATTT